GTGACATCACTGCCAGAAGATGGGGAACGCCGAGTACGGCGCTGTACATCTTCTTTTTCAGGATTTCAGGTAGTGAAAGTCCTGCTTTGACACCTTTTTTAGGCATCCAAAAAATCCACAGAGAAATTAGGGGAATTGAGCGCTGAAAGCGTCTGCTCATTGTGGGTCAGCAGCTCCCCTCCGGAATTTGAGGAGCATTCGCTGATCCCACTTCTGAGATGGGAACTGTGTGAACATCTGTGTGATTATGACCGGGTCATCTGGACAAGAGCCAAAGACATACCCATGGGTGTGTGTTCTCCACGTATCTGAGGGGCAGAGAAATGTTTGTCTTTTGTGTCCCTGATCTGAGCAGGCATCAATTCTTAGTATGCTATTTGTCTCCCTCCCTCCCCACACAGACCTAAAACCTCAGGGACCCACAAAGCCGACTTCATAAGAAGTCTGCTGCTGAGCGCCGATGCCAACGAGACGCCGGTCTGCTTCACACGAGCCTGTTTGGACAGGTTGCCCTGGGAACCGGGTCTGATTCCATTATGAGACGGATAAACACAATCAAAGAGTTTATCCACCTTCTATTGCCGGAGAAAAGACCCCCGCAACGATCGATCCAATCTGTGTGTGTGTGTCACGCCGGTCTCTGTACATGCAAGCTCTTGTAAGACATAAAGAGATTAAAAACGCTGGGCCTCACAGGGAAGTATCACTTTTGGAAAGCGATAAAAGTATTTAGATCACGTTGTGTGCGTGTTGGTGTGTGTGTTGTCCTGTGAGGGGTTTGGGGGGTTCAGAGAGATAAAATAAGAAAGACACAGCGGTGCTGCAGCACCTGCCAGAGTCATACCAGACATCCAGCAGCTTTCACTCTCCTTTACATTCCATCTGTGTTCGGCTTCCTTCCTTCAATTACTTCAAGTAATTCCATGTGTATTTTCGTTTTCTCTTTTCTATGCGGACGTACTGACTTTTTCTCAAAAAAAATGATAAAGACAATGAGGCCAAGCGGCTTCCCGTCCGGTTCCCGAGGGCTACACCTCACTGCTCAGTGGTCTCGGGCCTTTCCGTCCTCGCCGGTCATTTTCTCCCCAATGCGTCACACTGCAGATGTATGAAGGGTAAACACACGTGTGCACATGCAGCGAACAACTCCGATCCAAAAGCAGCCGACACGACGCTCCGCAAACCTGCAATCTAAGAGCCTTTCTATTCCTCCTCACTCTCTATTCGCTCTATTCTCGCCCCACCCGTCTGTTTCTTTTCATATCATCTTTTCCTTTGTGCTTTCCTCTCATTCCCTTCCATCTGTTCGCTCCTGTCTGTTGTTGCTTTCTTTCCCCTACCTTTCGTATCCCTCCGTCTCTGACCTTTCCGGCGTGTAAAAATCCTCTCTCTCTCTCACCTGATTCCCAGCTACTCTCCCAGTTTTTAATGTGGTGTTGGTTAGAGCGAGGGAGGGAGGGATACAGAGGGGGCTATTTACCAAGCAAAAATCCAGCGAGAGAAGATTAGAAGGGAGTGCGAGGGGCCGCCGGAGCACAGCGGTACGTGCGTTTGAGACTCGGGACGAGGCGTCCAACGCTGCATTCTAATATAGCTGCACCTCTCTGAGCCCCACTATGTTTCACCAATACTTACAATACAATACCGCTGCCTGGCTACTGGAACTCTGGGGATCAAATCTTTTTTTGCTCTTTTTCCACATCCGCCACAGTGGGAATGTGCATGTTTGATTTTTCTTTTTTTTAGCCCTTATCTGACCAGACAAATCGTCACGCTTCCGTGTAAGTACTGGGAGCGGGCCCGTTCTGCTCTGTAGTGGATCAACATCATAACAGACTATGTAATTGCTTCCATTGTCTTTGAATTAACAACATATGGTGACAAACTTGAAGGAAAAAAAACAAAGTGATAACACATCAGGATGATCTTTTGACGCCGGGTGTCTTCCCCTGCACAACACTCAATAAGCACCTAATAAACACCTCTTCTGATTTCCCATTTATTTAAAATAATGGCACTTGGCAGAACCGAGTCTCGTAGTTGACGAGGTCTCCTTTGACAATCGACGCCAAAAAGTAGCGCGTAAAGAGTTAAAGAAAGAACCTAAAAAGTCTTTAAAAGAGACCCCAGTTTACCTTTAAGTCCTGCTCTCTGCTCTGTGCGTGCCGCTCGAGAGGGGAGTTGATGAGAGTATGAAATAAAGTGCAGAGTCGTGGTGTCAGTCGTTTCTCACCACAGGCTGCAGCGCCGGCTCCATTGTGCCAAGCGCTCTCCATCAAAGCACGACCCCTCTGACTCCTTTCTCTCGGCCGCGGACTGCAAGGAGCGACTTTGAGTAGGGCGTGCACCGAATCGAGTACCCGCACATCACCGCGAGTACTTTTTAATAAGCTAATGCTGCGAGCTGTGGACTCAATCGGCTGTGAAGCACCGTTCAATCCAGGGCACCTACTGGGCTGATAGCATCTGAAGAGCGTTTTAATACGCAGATGCGGACAGCCACAACGTGCACCCACATATACATTTGCAGAAGGGCAATGAGTCATATTCTGAAAGGGACACAGCAGATTGCTTGGAAAGATGCCTGAAAGTTCCAACCCGATCACCCGTCCCCAGGTAATTTCTGTCCAAAAATCTATTTGGAGTCAGAACTGGTAATTAGAAAGCAAGCGAGATAAAAAGTTGAATTAAATGGAAAGGAAATTAGCCAAGCGAGAGTACGGTACTATTACATAAAGCCCTTCGGCGAGAAAGTTCAGGACTTTTGAGTCACTCAATTAAACTATTTCCATAGATCTGGCCATCATCCCTATCAATTATGATAACATTTTACAGACTAATTAACTGAGATACGGCAACTCTGCTCGACTGGAGGGCTTCAACTGCACACACGCGGACCCAAATGTGGCAGACGTCCTCAGGCGCGCGCGGTCATCCTGTCGATGGCGGACACGGAGGGATTAAGGGGCCCGCCGGAGCGGTTTAAAATGCCATCCTCGTCCGTAGCAGGGGGCGTAAATGCCACCCAAATGTCAGCAGGAGACCCCACAAGTCACCGCCACATGCACAAGCACTCCGCGGCCCCTCTTTGTTTGTGTGCGAGTGTCAAAGGACGGGGCCCTCTACTCCGACACAACAGGTCAGATTGCTGCACTCGTGAGGGCAGAACCAATCTCGCTCGAACTTCAAAGACCAGGTGGGATATATATATATTTAACCCCTCCAACATGGTCCGGAGCCCAGATGCCGATATGCAATTCTGATCACTGTTCACGGTCCGTCCCAAACAGAGCTTGAGTGATCCATTGCAGAGAAAGCAGACACCGCTCACACCTGTATCACGTAGGACGAATCCAGTTAACTCTGGGTTTACCGCGGTTAGATTCGTTGGTAAGCCTTTTAAGGGTTCTGATCTGTTAAACTTCATCATATCTAAATTCCTGAAGGTCCAGATGTTGCGGTTCTTTGGGAACCAGATGTAAACAAAGCACTTTGCACATAAGTGGTAAGAAAAAATGTGCATTTGTAGCTAGACATTAAGACTACGTATTCCCACATATTGCCACACACGCCACTGATTTCCTGTGCCCCCTACCACTCCCGCCTGCTTCCATCATTAAAGCTGCCACCAGTAGCGTGGCTGGCCGCGGGAGGTGTAGTGATCCATCAGCGGAGTGCCGGAGCTACGCCATTAGAAAACCATCTGCAAGAAACAGCGCTCCATTGGCACTGCTAGTCTGGAGAGGGCACGACAGAGAGAGAGAGATGTGCAGAAGGCAGTTTGGCGTGATTGATCTGAAACATTACAGACAACATGGAAGAGGTAAGGCAGAAAGCTAGTCACCGTTTTATTTTTGGTCATTTGGACACCGGCTCGGCCAGACCCACGGCGAGCAGGGGTGTGTGTTACTCGGAGAGGAGGGGGATTCAGGAGGCCAATCAGTTTGTTAGATCACATGTCTTCTGAGTACCGTCCAGCTTTACTAAAATCACCTCACGGATTTTCGGCCATTCCACGCCGTTTAGCGGGCGGTCCAGCGTTCAGTGATCAGGGTGTGTGCATCATTGATCTGCCAGTATACCAAACGTCCGTCGGTAATCAAACGCCAGATGGCCTGCGAGGAGCTGTGGCTCTCCACGAATGTTATCGTCACAACATTGAGATTTAAGGGATAAACGAAGGCGTATCCAGCCTCAGTGTGACAAACATGCACTGTGATGTTAGAGTTGTAGAAATGTAAGCCAAGCATCAGTGCAGACGTAGGAAACATCTCAGTTCAATAGATCCTAGGAGATAATGTATCCATGCATGGAGGCCAATTCAATTAAATTGCCTCACTATTAGATTTGAACCACTCGCTTGGGACCACTGGGCTGTATAGAAAACTACCAGGCATTCGTTTCATACACAAATTACAGCGGAAAAACCTTCACAATACTTAAATTTAATAGGGAATCAAAGAGGATGGTAGTCGATTTGTATTCCTGGATGGTATCAACCAAACATTTGGAACTGAAGGAACAGTGTATTACATCAAGTTTGATTTACGGTATCCCATTTAACATTAAAAAGGTTGAAATCGATAGCTGGTCACTAAGAGGCCGTGTAATATAATTAGTTTACATTTTACTGGTATTGAGTCATGTCCCAGCCTCCACACGCCTCGTATGGCTTGGTCATTGCTCTCTGATGGACCAGCATGACGCTTGTGGCACTTTCACACCCACATGCGTCGTAAACTTAATGGCATCCGGCCCAAATTGTTCCGGTAAGAATCGCAAATTGGTCATTTGTGCAACTTTGCCAGACATCAGTAGTGTCCTACATCCACAAAAAGTGATAAACATAACAAGATTTAGTGCTTTGGAACTGAAAAACTATTCCTCTTCCATCTGTAGAAATAACGGCTTGTTCGAAATCTGCTGACCACATTCCCAATAAGCCGGAAACCCGTGTTCCGGATGGGCATCCATGTGTGGTGCGTCACTCTGTGCCGTACCTGAGAAGCGGCTGGAAGATGACGGTGATGTTCCTCGCTCCCGGTTTACACACAAACTTCATTTCTCCGCCTTCAATCAGGTTGTCATCAGCACCACCTGGAACGTAGATGAGACGGGACTTGACACGACCAAACATGACAAAATAAGCATCTACTCAGGCGGAAGCAGAGCGGTACGCGAGACTTGGAGGCGCATAATCACATGTAGGGTGACATTTACGTGGCTTAAGGAGGATTTCACAGCAGCCCACCCAAAACGTTCTTTCATCTGCGAGCTGCGTCCTTCAACAAGACACTGAATCCCAGACAACCCCGAGAGTGCTGCCCCATTAATGACCCTCAACTGATCTAGCTGACGAATGCAACAAGTAGGTTCTCTCCGTCAACCAACAGGATCCTAATACATCTCAAAATGATCCTGAAACATTCTTAAATATTTAATATCAGTAGATGCGTACAACTTCAGCCCGAATAATTCTGCCACTCGACCATCTCTGCTCTCCATCACAAACCCAAGCGCGTCCCACATGCTCCCGCACTCCTCCGCGTCACCGCGCGGGTAACGGGGTTAATCAGGAAATCATTGGCATGTTACACGCGCCCAGAGGAGCGGGGGAGTCGGACAGCGAGGGGAGAGGGGCTGCAGAACGGGAGCAAGGAAAGAACAGCTCATTACCTCCACTCATCCTGAAGAAATCAATATAATTGGGGGAGAAGAAATTGCGCTGCGTTGTCAATACAGGTAACTGCAAAGCAAAAGGAATGTCAATCTGTGTGTGTGTGTGTGTGTGTGTAACGGGATGAAAGGGGCATTTTGCATGAACGCACACGCTCATGTTTACTTACACGTTTCTACAGAACAGAAGGTGAACTGCCTTCATGCAGTGGATGTTATACATAACCACTTCTGGACCTATGTCGAAGTCCCACAGCACTCAGTAATAATGCATCCATGAAAGAAAAAGAAAAATGCAATAAATGTCCATTGAGCTCTGTGAGAGGCGAAACGTTTGCGGGGGAAAAAGTTCGAGACTAAGAATAACATCAGCTTGCTGACCGCACTTTCCTCTGGAAAGGGTCTTCAATCAAAATGAGGTGGCGCAAAGTGAACGGAGTCAGTTAAGTGAAAAAGAAAAAATCAAACGAGACGGCGATCCACGCTGCTTTGACTGGGTTTTGAAACGAGTACGCTTGTGTGCATGCACGTGTGCAGGAACGGTGGGATTTCACTCTGCCACAAAGCCCTGCTCTGCGGATTCCTTCCGTTTCATTTCCATGTCCAATACGACCTCGCGGGGCTTGTGTGATACAACACAAAGAAACTTCGCCTGGGAAAAGCCTTTGCCGCATTACCTGCGCTGCCGGCGTAGCCGCGCATTCAAATGCATATCGAGCCATTGTTCCCGGTGCTCGGCTCCATAATACATTTCTAATGGAACAAGCTCCTATTGAAAAGTAGGGGAGACCACACTTTTCTTTTTGTTCAAAACGACAAGAGAAGCTTTCCACACATCCCAAACTTTTCAAATCAAGGCTTTCCGATTGTGATCTGTTGCCATGAAACTGGCCTGCACGGGGAGGCCGCGTGGAGACGGAGGCGAGTTCCAAATTGCTCAAACTCTCTTTCTCCGTCCTTCCTTCCTTCCTTTGGTGCCAGTTCAATTAAGACTCAATTACAGGCTCCTAAACAAAGCTGCCGCCATCGCACACTCCTGCTCATCCCCTCTCCCCCCCCCTCTCGTGAGCCACGTTTCTCTCCCTCAAACCATCAAAGTGTAAAGAGCTGGCTTAAACCTCCCCAAGTCCCCATGAATAACATCAACATGCCGCAGGCTCCGGGGAAGTTTGAGTCACCTGTCCACCAGGAACCGCGTCTAACTGGAGACCACACACACACACACACAAATTCACTACCATGTCCGTATTCCCGATGGCAGCGACCAATTTAATTTCATGCTCTAAACATCTGCATCCGTGTCAGACAAAAGGGGCGAGGAAGAGGCCTCATTGATCCGCGGGGTCTGGGACCAGCTGCCAACAGGGGCACGGCGCTGATGAATATTAAATAGGCCAGCATTAATATGCATGGAGTTCCTCCGAGTCGTCTCGATGTGACAGGGGGGGCTCCGGTTTCGGGTCAGGGGGCCACCAGACTGCTGCCAACCGTCTCTCTAAATAACATGTAAAAAAAAGTCCCACTTTGTTTGGGAGGGACTCGTGCGTTTGCGCGTGTGCGCTCGAGTATCGGTTGGCACTCATTGGACGAGTGTCTGTTCATCTCGGTCTCTTGGTGTGTGGTCTGATCCAGGATTAGTAGGAGGGGTGTGTGTGTGTGTGTGTGTGTGTGTGTGTAGCTCACTGGGACGGCAACTGAAAGAGGCAAAGGAAGAGGGCGACGCATTCTAATGTGGCCAAATCTGCACAAAATCCCCCTCGAGGACCACTGCTCAGTCTGCAACACACTCGCCTCCACTGATAAAAACACCCGGGGATTCGGTGGGGGGGACTGACAGGTACAGATATGTATACACACACACGGTTCAATGAATTTAAACAAAGTTACACAGAAAGAGATAGAGAGCCTAAAACACACACACACACACACACACACACACACACAGTGACACCCATCCAGCCCCCTGTGGTGCCTCAGCATGGGCTCCCCAGCCCACATGTAATCAAGTCGGGCAGTGACTTAGTGAAATTGCATTAGCTACACTTTCGTGGGTTTGATGAGAAACAGGTTTGATCCGGAGATGAATTCCGGCCCTGCCCAGATTTAGGCAGGAAAGGAGCGAACGTGCGACGCCTTCTTTAACACACTCCCGGCGTCCCCGGGGACCGGAGGACGCAGACAGGTCTGCGAGTGTGTCGGCGAGAGCGAGATGAGGAAATCCAGAAGGGCGGGGAACGGAACAGTCGTAATCCCTAATTTACAAGTGGTTTGGATCACTTGTGTGTCTGCAACGTCCAAATAAAATAAAAAATACTATATATGCAAACATGTAAAACCACACATACAGAAACAGATGATAACCAGGTTCAATGTGCAAATATCACCTGATGTTTTGTGTTTTACATGTATAGATTTAATCTGTAAAGTATTGTTTTTTTAAAAAGGATCTTTGCTTTCCACTATCGTTTCTCCTCTAAAATGTCTTATGACAGAATTCTCTGTTGGGGATGATAGGTTTGAGGCTCCTCGCGTCTGAATAAATGTCAGGACGTGTTAAGGGGAAACGAGGACCGTGTGAACGGTTTCTGCTACTTCTGCCAACATCAGTCAGCGTTCCACATCTTTCAAACTTTCAGTCTTGCGAACAAACGCAGCGATCCTAAATGTGTGTGACCTGCGTTGGTGCAGCGGCCTTACCCAGTAGCGCTGAGCGGGGTCTCTGTACTCGAGCCGGGTTCTGATTGGCGCTGGCAGGGGGGGGGGAGACTGTGTGATTGGCGTAATTGGGAGGCACAATCATGTGCACAAACACGCACAACGGAGGCCCGCCAAAGTGAAAACATCTCGCTGTGCCGGACGAGAACGCACGAGCAGGACCAGGTTGAAGTGTGATGGGTGGGATTCTTCCCGCTCTCCCTTTGATTGAGGCGTCTCATCTGTGCCGGTAGCCAGTCCTGCTTAGTTTGACGCTAAGTTGTAAAAGAATCAGACTGGCGGTCGGCTGCATTTTAACCGAGAGGAAACCTGCCGATCTAATAGGAACGATTTCCGGGTCAATAATGTATGACTCTCTGGTCAATTCCGGGCATCCCATTCCACTCAGACCGTCTTCATGTCTGATTAGGTCTTAATGAGAGCCTTCTATTATTAAAATGAATTAGATGGGATGCTATCTGCCGCACCACCAGCCAGGGGACCGAATCCATTCCTTAGCCGGGAAACAAACGTGATAAATAAATCATAGTATAAATAAATTCAGGTGTAAATTGAGTTGGATTAATTATTAAAGGCCTCGCTGTGGCACACGATGAGTCTCCGTGGTTTGGGGTTTAATGGAATGCACATCTCTCAGTGGCGGCTCGACAATAGTGCTCCCCGGTAGCAGAATGGAAATTAATTGTGCAGAATGTCTCTTTATTTTGACATAAGGACATATGGCGGTTAATTTTTTTTGAGGACAGGTGGGAAAGTGGGGGTTTGGTGAGGGGGCGAGGGGGTGCAATTGAAAAAATATTGCTTGTCCAGACTTCAGCCTGCACCTCGGCACAGTGCTTTTGCTTTGCTTTTGTTTACACGTTGCAGAAACAGGGACAGACTCAGATACCCATCAACGTTATTTTGTTTTTGATGACCTTGAATATACATCAGAGTTTTACAATTGCTTCAGTCTAGACTGGAGCAGTAGACCTGCCAGGCGGATGGATGTCATGGCCCGAGCGTGAAAAAAACACCAGGCTCTCCGTAACGCCGCCGGTTACGGCACCGTTCTGCCCGTGTAGCATTTTGAGGAAAACCAGCATCACTCCAATCATGAAGGGGTTAAAAAAAAAAACAAAAAAAAACATCCTTTTCTTTCCAACCGGCGTGTCTTCAATCTGTCGACCGTAACAAAGAATTACCTCAGGAGTGATTGAGCACATGCACGTGAGTGCACGTGTGAGTGGATAACGACCAGGGGAACTAATCGGCCGGAAAGCAAAGTGTCATCACATCTTTGATTGGACCCAGCAGGGAATCAGACGGCACATTGCACACCACCTCTTTCTTTACCGCGAGAACCTGTTGCATGCTGGGAAAGGAAGAAGTGGGTGTTAGTCTGTCCGGCTAACAGCGAAGCTGCTACCGTGCAGGTGCCATGTGCCTCAAAAGCCTTGTGTACCTTTCTTCCGTCCATCCATCCATTCCTCCATCCTTCCCTTCCTTCCTTCCCCCCTCCCTTATTTGTTCGTCTTTCCAATTTCTCCAATCAGCCGGTCTGAGATTAAAAGTAAACACGGAGGTGACAGCCAAAGCCGCCAATAATGACAACAACCCTGCTGATCAAAATTAGCCCTAGGTTGGGAAGATAAGCCAAGCTCTTCCTCTCTGATTAAATGTCTGTGCTGCGTAAACTACAACAACCTTGTTCTGGTCTCCTTCTG